TTTTTTTAAATTTGTATTGTTATTCTTTTATAATTTATTCCCCTCGTCACTCCCTCAGTTCTATTTACTTTGTAATACACTGGAGAACAGGAACAAGCGTTCCTTCTGTTGTTTTTTCCGGCATGAAATACGAAACGCATGTCACCGTTTTGTTCGCTGCTAGTCTGAGCGCAGACGACGACCGTGTCTGCGTAGCGGGAACATGACTCGACAGTGGTTGGATGTGTGAACCCCTCCTATTGGCTCCCTCTGCTCTCCCGCGCTGTGTTGTCCAGATCAAACTCCCCGTACTGTCAACGCTCTACTTTCCAGTTTTGTTTTATTTTTTCCAGGCGCTAACTGAAGTTGCTATCCACTTTGTAACTATTGAAAAATAATCTTTTATGTGCGATAATTTATGAACCAGCTTATTAAATAAAAAACAAAAACGAGAACTTGTTTTATGTCGTGTTGCCTTCAGTGACATTAGAAATAACCAGGATTTATTTCACATACAGGTGTGTGTGTGTGTGTTTCCACAGTTTCCATGCACAAACACACTTTCTGTGGCTTTCTGCCTTTTATCTTTTGAAGAGTTCGTGTCACGATTCTCGGGCATCGTGTGACTTTTCAGGACATTGACTAATGGCCGTTATGTTTAACCAGGTTTACATCATCCGGCACTCCCTCCACGTTACATCTCAGTGGATCTCATGACTCCTACACACGTTTTATAACTACTAGGAAGAACACTTGACTCCATGAAGCACAGGTATTTAAAGAGTTTCACTTAAGAAGTAAAACGCTGCGGTCTAGCAGCAATCTAGCAGCACCATAAATTACATTCATACAACCACAATAACACCAAATCTCTTTCAATGCCTCCGCCGTGGACCCTTTCATTGAGGTCCCATTGAAAATCATCTTATAGAAATATGTTTACAGAAGGGATCGTGCATCTTTTCTGCTTTATTCCTAATTTTTTACCTACAACCCACATTAGAGACTGAAGTTAACTCTTTATCCTCACTTTCCAAAATGTAGTTAATATTAAAATGTGCTCAGCTTTTCTCTGTTTACATTTCAGACCAGTTGAAGAAGCAAAACCTGAAGAAATGTAGAAAACCTTCATGTGACTTTGTGCATCTACAGTAGAATCACTTCAGCTTCAGTCCAAACCGAGTAAGCTGCAATCTGTCCAATACATTTACAGCAACAGCACTCTTTTCTGTATATTTCAGCAGTCAAATGGGAATCGCGTGTGAAGAGATTACATCTTGTATTTATCAGTCGGCAAACCTTTTAGACTCGAGCTACAGACCTTTTATCTAAAGATGTTCTTGATTAACGCTGCAGATAGTTGATATTTGATGTCATGCCAACACCTTAGTTATTTTGGATTTCCTCCAATGTTTGATTCTAGAAAGGGCGGGAACGTATCTGAAACATCAGTTCTACCCATTAGACTGTAAAGAATGCATTGAAAAACACTGTCGTCCGGTTAATTAACTTAATTGGAAAATCTTTCCCACTTGTTCCACACTTGTTCTGTGTTTTTCTGTAGCTCCTCTGCAGCAGGAAAAGATAAACCTCCAGTAGTTCTCAGACTTCACAGACCTGCAGACGACCTCTGTCTGAGCCTCGAGTTTGTTTTCTTTAATGGAGTGGAGCTGCTTAAGAAGGAGCTGTAAAATACTCGGCTGTAGTAAACACACACAGAAACTGCTCTCTGCTCCATTTGCAAACAGATCTGGCTCCCACATGGCCTGACTGCTGCTGCACCCTGGCCTTTGAATATTTGATCCGGTCGTTGGCAGAAGAAAGTTTCACATTCTCAGTTTTTCATTTTTTGAAAAACAGAAAAACAAAAAGGTCACAACCAGCTGGAAAAGGGCGTTTTGAAAAGTCATCTCGAGCACTTCAAAGCAGCAATATTTTACATTCCTTTCATGATTTGCAAATCTAAAAAATACTCTGGCTTGTGATGCCAGATGTTCGTCACACTCTCTCAGGCCGAACCAAATCAAGCTCAGAGGTTCTTCTCTGCTTTTCAAACCCGTCACCCGTCAACAACACGTTGAACCAGCTCTCTCTCTCTCTCTCTCACACACACACACACACACACACACACACACACAAAAAACAAACAACAAGTGGGTGCCGCTCTGCCAGATATATTTAAACTCCAGTGGGGACTGGTCCAACCCTTCACACACCCACTTCCAATGTGTCCACACACCCTCACCACCCCCCCCCACCCCACCCCACCCACCTCTTCTAGCTCCCCTCCTGGTCCAACTTTCCTTCTTGCTACAGACCCTCTTTGATAAATGAATGATCATGAAGTCACAGTTTCCCCATTATATTACATGTGTACATTCTATTTTACGTCAAGCACTTCACTCCGCTATGAATCCGGTTCGTAATGATCATAATGACGAGCAGCCAAAGAGTAAAAGCCACAATGAGAGCAGAAGTAGAAACATTGTTGGAAATTCTCTTTTAGGAGAAACGAAAAATAAAGACAATATCAGCAGAATAAGACAAAAGTTACAAAAATAGATAAATACCAAATGATAAGACATACAAATGCAGTTCATTCTGACTGGCCGCCCACTATTAACGCTATTGAAACGGCAGTCCAACACAGCGACATGTCGCCATGCAGGACTTAAGAAACGCGACCCATTTACCGTACGATCTGAAAAGATTGTACAGACTTTTTGAATTGTTTTTTATACAAGTTAGTTAATTTTCCAGCTTGACTTCTGCACACAGCATGTACATTTCTGATGTGAAACAGCCGTTGCGAGATAACTCCCCCTTCTTCCTCTCTCCTTTTCTAAAATCCGAACGAGATGGTCGGACTCGTACTCGGCTCCGTCTCGTGCTCTGCGAGGTTATCTGCCAGTGATCCGCTGTGGGAGTCTCCTCTTGGCCTCTGTGTTGGTCCTGCGAGCAGACAATGGGGAATTGTTGCACCAGATGCACGTCAGATAGTCGCGGGGCTGCAGTCAAAACAGAGAGAGAACGTCTTTTTGTAGTTGCTGAGGGAAAACATTTGAGTCTGGGGGCCAGATAAGGAGCTGACGGGCCTTGTTTTCGTCCCTGTCCCACATTCAGAAATGTGGCTCCATGTTTAGTCTTCATGAAGGAGACTCGCATCCTTTCTTAAAGATGTATTCCCTTAGTTTTCTACCTGCGGTTCAAACATGATTTGTGCTCCAGAAGTCGACGTGAGCTCAGACAGAAGCGCGGTTGTCTGTCAAAGCGTCATTAATTCTCTCATCGAGTCTCTTTTATCGCCTCTTCATGAAGAACAAACACTGTTGTTTGTTCAGCTTTTCCTGCAGCTCGACACGGACACACGCCAGAGCCTCTGCAGGCTGAAACCTCTCCTTTAAATTGATCTGGCTTAATCTGGACGTTCTTTGAAATATTAAATGCGTAATTAAATGTTGCTCCATTAAAACTTGCAATTCTACCGTCCTTAGTCTCGTTCGGCCTTTTGAAAAAGCAACTAGTGTGTCAGGTTCAAACAATAGTTATTCTATCTTTCATTGTTTAAAACATTTTGTACTTTCGTCAAAGCACATTTTGAGTAAAACAAATGTGTAAATAGCATTTGCTGCTGTTCAATGCTGCCTAAAAGGACAAAGCGCTGGTTTAACTGCTTTGTTTTTGGAGTTCAGTTGAACACTCCTCCATAAAAAGGTGGCGGTACTTCAATCTGTTGTGCTTGGCCAGCAGCACCGGCAGGTTTCAGACTCCAAACCCTTCTCCAGGAGAAGTCGGTTACCTTCTGAGGGCCCCCTTTGTTTGACGTGGATCGTATAAATTTCCAGTTGCATAACAGATCCTGTCTTTATGCTGCTCCTTCTTGAAGCGTTGTGCTTCCTCTGTATTGGTTGGATCCCCCGGACCGATTCAGGAAGTCGTTTCCTGCTGTCAAGTCTTGGCTTCCTCTTTCTGTCCATTTCAAAATGTCTTGAGCACTTCCTCTGTGAAGGTTTGAGGAACGGAGCAGAAAATATCCTGATGGAAATCTCTCTCTGTCGCCATCCACGATCCTACATGTGTTCAACATGGCTCTTCTACCGATGAGGAGAACCATGCTGAACATCTATCCACACGTGGCGGTGCAAACCCGCTTGGATGTGAAGACCGGCTGGATTTATTGTACTCTCTCAAACTCTCCCTTTTTATTCTGCACACAACCACGTCTTTTGAGGAGCGACTGTCCTAAAGTGTTCTTCACGTTTGACATTTGACAATCACGTTGAGTTGTGCTTGTATTTGAGAAACGACACTTCGGAGGCTCTGTAGTCCGAACCAAGAACCCAGGAAGAGCGCCGGGCTTTGAAGCAAATTTGACATAGTGCCCAAACGGTGGAATTCCATTTTCCGGGTCCATCACGTGACGCCATTGGGCCCAAAAATACATTTTCCCATAGACTTACTTTGGGAAAGAGCAACTTTCATACCCACTTTTCACCATAAAAGCCCTACACATGTAATATTTGCAGACGAGTGTTTAGGTATTTTCGTGTTGTTTATTCGTCACGTCCGCTGCGTGTAAAGGCCTCCAGGCAGCAGCCTGGTTTCCGCCTCTCCCAGGTCAATGCTAATTAGAGTCTTCACTCCCAGATGTTTTTGTTTGACGAGGGAGTGGATGAGACTTATGTAAGGGCCATGTGCCGAACGCAAACCCCTCAGCCCATAAGGAACTCTCTCTTCCAGGCGTCGGTTCTGACTTTAATGAAAACAAGTCTCAGTGAATTACGAGGGTTAAACGGTGAGGAGACCGACGACCACGGATCTGTTTTCCCTTGTTTCCCACAGGACCCGGAGATTTATTAATGGCGACCTACCGCACATATCGGATTCTCCGTGGATTTACTGTCTCATGGCTCC